ATATATATATATATATATATATATATATATATATATATATAAGCTTTTCACCCCAAGCAAGGCGGAAGCCACTAGGATGCAAGAGGTTACAGAAGATTTGGAGTAAGATCAGATAGGAGCGAGAAAGGAAAGGATGAGGAAAAGGATAGTGGATAGATCAAGGCAACTGGAGATGTCGATTGACATTACATTTGAATAGTTGTAGATTATAGCTCTCAGGGAAACTGGAATAGGGAAGGGAGTTCCACAGGCGAGAGGTGCAAGAAATGAAGCTATTGGAGTAGAAGAGGCGGCTACATTTATGAGTTTCGACAGCGAAAGGGGTAGACAAGATGTCAGAACAGGGCCAATTATATTGCATATCCGCCTCTGGATATATATATATATATATATATATATATATATATATATATATATATATATATACGGAGAAATATACTCTTAAGGTGTGCTATATTTATGGGATAAAGTGCTCAATATGAGAGATAGAGCGTGTATAAATATAAAAGTGAACATTGAAGTCAACACTTACAGGCGACAGACTGTTTCATGGTAGAAGCAATCGGCAGGCCACAAGTGTATTTTTTTTCCTCGGCTTTTTATATATACGCGAGAATGGTGCATTGTGGGTAGTCTATTTTGGCCGTTATTTTGCCGGAAGCCGTTTATACGTTTACTTATTTATTTATTTGTGTTAATTTATTTTGTTTGTTTTTATTTATTTTTTATTTTTTATATTATATATTTCTTTCTTTATTTTTTATTTTAATCGGTGTTTTATTAACGTAGTAAAAATTTGTTTATATCGCTTATTTAATAGTTTGTTTTGATTTGGGAAGATAATAAAAGCTATTTATTCAATTTTGGGGTTGATTGCTGGAGTTTATTGCAACTATTATTTTGGCGGGAGGAGTTTTTAATTTGTTTATTACTTCATTTATTTATTTGGTTTGATTATCTTGTTTTTTCTAACGGTAAATTCATCGGGAGCGGTTTGATATTTTATTTATTTTGATTAATTTATATTAATTTATTTTACTTGTTTTTTATTTTTTACTTATTATACTGTCTATTTTATTTTCTCTTTTCGGTTTTCGATTTTTAGGCAACGTAGTATTTTTTATCGTTATAAAACAGTTACAGCTATGTTTTTCGTCCGATTTTTGGTTTGATTTTTACAGTCTAATATTTTGGCCATATTGTTTTTTTTTAATTTGTTTATTATTTACTTTATTTATTTGGGTTCATTGATTTTGTTTTTTATTTATTTATTCTATTTCGTCTATTCTAACTGGTGTGAATTTGGGTTAAATTATTTTACTTATTTTATTGTCATTTTGTTTATTTATTTTATTTTATTTTTTATTTTATCTTTTTCTCAGTTTCCGATTTTTTAAGTAACGTAGTAAAATATGTTTTCATATGTTGTTTATTTATATATATATATATATATATATATATATATATATATATATGTGTGTGTGTGTGTGTGTGTGTGTGTGTGTGTGTGTGTGTGTGTGTAGATGACAGCTTTTAGATCACATGATGTTTCCCCCATACCAAAATTGCACTTCCTAATTATATCTCCGATTGTCTCGGAGGTGGTGGTAATGATCCTATTATTAGAGATGACTAATTTGTTTGCGAGTTTAATAGAAAGATTGTTGGAGGGCAGGATTATAAATTTTGTGCAATTTTTGTTATTTGGTGGTGTCTCTTCCTTTGGTTTTGTGGATTTTGTAAGCTTATTTTTTTAGCATTGGGGATAAAATGATGTTGGTAGTGGAGAAGTTTGAAAGTTTTCTCAATATATTTCTCTTCTTCATTTCGATATTCTGGGCTACATGTCCGAAAGTCTTAGATGTAGAATCCTATGATCAGCCCAGATTTTATATTTTGGTTGTGGTGGGAATAGAACTTGATTAGATCATTTCTGTTTGCGGGTTTACGATATACTTAAAACTCTAATATCTCATTGTTGCCTAGTAATAATATATCGAAGAAAGGTAGAGTATTGTTTATTTCAAATTCGTTTGTGACTTCAGTGGTAGGTTCAACCTTACTAAGTTTCTTTATTATGTCTAATAGGTTTGTATCTTGGGGATATAATAATCGGTTGTCATCTATATATCTAAGGTAAATAGAGCTGTTTGGTATGATGTATCTAAATGAAGTGGATTTTAAGAATTCTAGAAAAAAGGCAAGCGAGAATACCCCTGAGAGGTGACCCCACAGGTAAGCCGTTTTTTTGCTTGTAGAGAATATTGAGAAAAGAGATGAAGCAGAGATCAGTAAAGAGTTTGCATATTTTGATAATTAGTATGTTGTTGTATAATAATTTGATGTCTGAGCTCGCCATACCAATGTTTTTTGTATTTATGTTTCGTATTCTCTGGATTTAGTCACCAGAGTATTTAATATATTTTGTGTTGATAGGTTATAGGAACGAAGCTAGGACTTTTACAATAGCTTTAGATAATTTGTGAGGTGAACTGTTGATACCGGACACAATGGGTCTGATGGGTATATCGGTTTTGTGTGCCTTGGGTAAACCAAATAGTGCGAGTGTGTTGGGATTTTTTTTTCAGTATCTAATCGTTTTGTTGAACTTTTGTGTGTCCGTGTTTACTGTTTTTTCATTGATTTTTGTTTTGGTTTTGTTATTTAGGATGGATTCTAATTTCCCAATGTAGATGTTGGGCTCCATTACAACTATTACGCCTCCTTTTTGAAATGACATTTTTCGCTGATCGCACAAAGGTAACGACATCAGAACTCCCACTAGACAGACACACATACATAATTACGAATACACATTACCATTCGATGCCCGTTTAGACATTGAGGATATTTGCAAACTTACATACACATAGAATTATCTACGGTTTTAATGCACGTGACATGAGTCTGATCAATGAGAACTGAACCAAACATCATTTACAATAACAGTGTTTCTGAATTTTTGTCTGTTTCCTCTAACGAAGCTTGAATAATAGTGAAACTTATTAGACTGATATATTCCTAATTGTTCTTTACACACACACTCTCTGACACACACATATATAGGGTGCGATGGATAAATTGTCGTCTAATTTACACAGAAATAACTATAGCACTGATATCTCATTTTAGCAGATAAATTTTCCAAAATCAGACAAAAAATATCTTGAAATATTAAAGAGCGTATTCATTCGATGAAATCGACATTTGATTCAAACGCGCTCCGCACAAACGACTTTATAATCTCCTGCAACTATTCTGGACGGTCTCCTTGTTTAAGTTGTTGAATGCCGCTATAACACTTGCCTTCAGTTTATCTTTGATGTCATAACGGTGTTTTTTTGGTTTCTTGCTCAACTGCTAGCCATACAAAATAATCAAGGCTGTTAGAGTCTGGGGAGTTAGGTGACATGATGTAAGAGGAGATTTGGCTACAGAAATTTTCTTAAAGCCATGAATGGGTTGTCCTGCAAATATGGCATGGCGCAAAGTCCTGTTGCCATAATCTTGACCCAAAGCAGCACTAACTATAGTGCGCCGTTTCCAAATGTCTGGCGCAGTGAATTGCGTCACAGTGCTCTTTTTCTCACAGACGGTGCCCAACTGACCCGACTATACAGTGCAGTGATCAGAATAAAAATCAAACAACCAGCATGCACAAAATTAAAATTTAAAATAAAATGGCGAAAATTTACTCATCGCAATATATATATATATATATATATATATATATATATATATATATATATATATATATATATATATATATATATATATATATATATATAGGCACGGTGGATAGTAGTGAATAGCAACTCGGACTGAGAAATCGGAGAGCTGAGTTCGAATTCCAATGGAATCCATTACATTCACTTACGTTCTAATGCTCTTCTGCTTCCTCGCTCCAGCTATTGGTAAATAGCAGAACAGACTGGGTTCTATAGCCTTGGATAGCAAGCGGTCTAGGATAAGGACAATTCTGAATCAAAACCTGCAAAGGGACGTTTGGGGACATGTGCCTCATTGTGCACCATGTCTCTGTATCCAGCCCAGCCTTCAAAAAGTATGGTTGGTTCTGCAAAAAGCCTTCACGACTATAATCAAATCATATGTAGTGGTGTCTGGACTGCCTAGAAACTGAGCTGCTTGACCCTGATATGTCGAATATAACGGGGGAGTCCACTATATATATATATATATGTATGAGAGAGAGAGAGAGAGAGAGAGAGAGAGAGAGAGAGAGAGAAAGTTCAGCATCACTATTGCAGGGATACCATTAAGTACACATGCTTTGTGAGGATACATTTTCGATATGATAGAAAAAGAACATGGGCAAGGTTATATGCATATCACTTAACAGAGACTCGGTTATAAGTGAGAATCCAGGCAAAGATACTCCAGACAAGACAAGAGTAAAATTTGAAGAGAATTTCGAGGAAAATATTTCTCCTTTACCAGCATATTTTAATATCTCAAATTGAGTGAAGAAGGAACAGAGGGAAGATTTACATTTATTTAATACACTACTGCAGAACCCGAGAGTAGACACGAGAACCAAACTTCTTAGAGGTTATCTGTTGCCTCATTTTGTCAGCAAACAACCGGAAATGCACGCAGGGGCACATATCACTGCGCGACTTGTCACGGCAAATACCCCGATATTGATACTGTTGACAAGAGCAGTTTCTATAAGCGCTACCAAAGAGTTCGGGTTCCTTACTTCCTGGCAGAATGCAGCGTTCAGAAAAATTCCAGCCGGGTTCCCTCATAAAGAAAAGTCACAACCACTGATCAGTCAGATCGTGAAAAAGTTAAGGCAACTAAATTATGACGCCAGGGGAGTAAAGAAACGGTAAACCATATCCTGAAGGAAACAACGGATATACCTCTACTCAAGTCAACTCAACTCAACTCAACTCTACTCTACTCTACTCTACTCTACTCTAATCTATCTATCTATCTATCTATCTATCTATCTATCTATCTGTCTAACTAGCTAGCTACATACATTTGTCGCTGTTCATATCTATCTATATACCAACCTATCGATCTATCTACATATATTTGTCGCTATTCATATCTATCTATCTATCTATCTATCTATCTATCTATCTGTCTATCTATCTATTTATTCATCTATCTTTCTCGCTGTTCATATCTATATATCTATCTACATATATTTATTGCTGTTCATATCTATATATCTATCTACATATATTTGTTGCTGTTCATATCTATATATCTATCTACATATATTTGTCGCTGTTCATATCTATCTATCTATCTATCTATCTATCTATCTATCTCGCTGTTCTATCTATCTACACATATTTGTTGCTATTCATATACCTATCTATCTACACAAATTTATTGCTGTTCATCTATCTATCTATCTATCTATCTATCTATCTATCTATCTATATTTGTTGCTGTTCATATACCTATCTATCTATCTATCTATCTATCTATCTTTGTTGCTGTTCATATATCTATCTATCTATCTATCTATCTATCTATCTATCTGATTTGTGTCATCATGCAGTGCTGCCTTCTCAGTCTACACTATGCACATACGTGCATATACTCACATACACGTTTTGATCTACTACTGATCACTTCAAATCATGCACCCTCTCACATAAAATGTAACTAAGCTCTATACAACATAGAAACCGTACGATGGCACTGTGATGTGCCTGAAAAGTCGTCTTGCCACCTTAGCCGACGGGCATACTCAAAAACGAGCAGTTATATATACACTGCGTGCCAAATTATTATCGAGATAACTTTTTCCTAATATTTCAAAAATCAATTCAAAGAAAATTTTCACACAATGTTGGCAACAATGACCTGCGAAATCCCTGAAATTTTCGTACTGATCTGCGTAAGGTAAACAAACTGACGCCATATTTGTTATCAGCACGGTGATTTGAGCGTGCCAAATTATTAGAAAGGTTTAGTAAAATTCCCAGAATTGAGCAAAAAAAAAAAAAACGTTTATTAATGTTGAACGTGAATGTTTATGATCAAAAGAAGCTAATAAATATGATAATCAAACAAATAATAACAGATACAAACAAAGGCACAGTTTTAAACAAATTAATAGGGAATGTGTTTCCCTGTTTTGAAATTACTTGAAAATGTCGGCGATCCATAGAATTTGTTAATTGTAGGATGTCATCTGCTGTAATGCCGCGTGATATGTCAAGAATTGCTTCTCACAACACAGCGTCGCTCCTGAATTGTCGTCCGTTGGCGTACAGTCTTCGCTTCATGATGCTCCAAAGGTTTTCGATTGAGTTCAAATCTGGAGAATTTGCTGGCTACTTCATTTTTCGAGGTCCATCGAAGCCTAACTGTTTCAAATATTCAGTAGTTTTGTGAGCAGCATGTCAGGGAGCATTATCTTGCATAAAAACAATGGCCCTTCTGAATGCAAGTCTTTGCGTTTTCATCCACGGTTCAAGATGCTCCTTCATAAATGCTATGTATGCCTCAGCAGTCATTTTGACGCCATCTGGTACTCTCCATGGGCCCACTAATGTTTTTCCAATAATACCACCCCAGATCATTATGCCTCCACTGCCTTGTTGGTGTCTTAAACGCTGATGGCGATTCTGTCCGTTCATTACCCAGCCTTTGCACCATCTATCTGGCCCATCAAGTGTTGCTCGAATTTCGTCTGCGAGTTTCGTCTGTGAACATAACTTTAGAGAAGTCGCATGTGTGTGTGTGTTTGTACTTGTGTGTGAGAGATAGTGAGTGTTTATTTTTGGAAGTACGCTTATATTACAAACAACTGGAAGTAAGAAATAATATAATACAATTTTTCAGTACTAATGATGCAATAGCAAGGAAACCTTTAATTTGACTATGAAATTGACAAACCTATTGTTTTATCATTTGTACAAAATGTCACCTGTTGTCGTATGTCATTTCAGAATGTGATTAAAAAAAAAAATATTCCAGAGATAGATTAATGGCATCCAGAAGCACACATGGACTGGAATGTGGATCAGCATTTTAAACCCTTGACTTTCTCTTCTTACCAAACAGAAAACACCTATTTCTGTCCAAGATAAATCCTGGCGATCATAAACAAATTTATTACGAAAGAAAATCGTGAATCTTTCATGGGAAGCCCCTAGAAACATAGCCGAAATCGAATCTACTTGGAAAGTATATTCTTCCCTTTTAGTGGAATTTACTGTTTTATTGTGACTCGTAACAAACAGTTATTTGGTCAATGTACATTGAGTTATTTGTTCTCCCAAATTTAACATTTAAATAAAAACAAAATGTTTCCATGGTGATTATTCTTCAAGAGAATATTAGAACAAATCATAGAGTTGGAAGAAAATATATTTCTGCCAGGGTTAACACCATTCAAATAGATTTTTTTGTTTCGTTGTTCAAGCAGTAAAGAGATCTTGATAAAACATTTAAATATTTTATAGAAGCATAATCGGAATCGTTCTTTTGAAATGGTACACAATTCTCCATCAGAACTTTCTATTGTTAACGATATATGATATGGTAAGGTTGATCATTTTTGTTTTCTTTCATTATAATAAACTTTTTTCTAGATACTAGTCCCATCCTGAATGGAAGTATCTAATGTGATCTTCTTTATGTAAGCAGATAGAGAATTTTCTTTCGTCACTTCATTTATTTGAAGTATCGTGAGTATTAATTTCTTTTATATTTTACACTCATATTGGAATATTTACAACTTTTGAATTTATGTATAGTTCAAATGTTAATTTACATGTTAAACCATGTTAAAAACTTACTCTAATTCTTCCGCCATATTACTTATCTATTCATATCAATTTTGATAGAATAATTTTGACAACATTGGTCCCTGAAGAAGAGTTGGCCAAAAGGCGTCTTGGGTAAAAAAATGTTCTCTAAACAGAGTTTATTTAAAACAATTTATGCATTCGGTGGTATTAAGTTGTTATATATATATATATATATATATATATATATATATCCCCAAGTATATAATTGGTGTATACGGAATGGATTCCAATAACCAACAATTACTATTCTTAAAAGAGTGCTCAATACAGAGTAGAGCAGATATAATTATTTATTTAAAAATATTTATAACATAAATATAAATAAAAAACACTACAAAAATAGCCATTTTGTTTGAACACCTCCGGTGTCTTATCAAGTGATGATGTTGAATGTAAAATTAATTTATTTTACATTCAACATCATCACTTGATAAGACGCCGGAAGTGTTGAAACAAAATGGCTATCTTTGTAGTGATTTTAAAACATATTTTTTAAATAAATAATAAGACGCCTTTTGGCCAACACTTCTTCAAGGACCAAAGTTATATATATATATATATGAATAGAAATATATATATATATATATATATATATATATATATATATATATATATATATATATCAAAGTGTAGACGAACGAACAGTAAGATTACAGCGTTCAGGACATTAATTTTAAAAAGATTTCTCAATACACAAAGTAGAGCCGTAAATATTAGTAACATCGTGATTCCCCACCTGATGAGACGTCCAACAAAGTTTTTCCTTTTTTTGACGTTGAAACAAAAAAGTACAATTTTGTAGTGGATATGTGCATGTTCTAATGTAACACTGCATAATATATATATATATATATATATATATATATATATATATATATATATATCATTATAGCCCTTGACACGCTGATATATAGATATATGACCTAATCATAGCACAGGCTGACAAAGTAGGTGCCACAACGACCTGGGGAATCAAAGAATACATTAAAGAGGCCACCATGCATCTAGCCGACAAAGAAACCTATAAAAGCTTACCTATAGATACTGAATACCCGAATACCAAAAAGAACTAACGAGCTCACTAAACATAATGTTTCGAAACAATCTAAACGACAAGTAAACATGCAGAACAGTTACAGCACAAACAACAAACCTGCTCGTTTCTATCTCCTTCCTAAAATACACAAAAGCAACAACCCAGGAAGGCCGGTCATTTCATCATTCAACTGCCACACGACCAAAATTTCCAAATACGTAGACCATTACATACAACCCCTAGCTAAAGAAGTAACATCCTACATCAGAGGCACAACAAATCTACTAAACAAAATTAATCGCATACAAACAATTCCAGAGAATGCTATTCTAGTGACTATGGGCGTAAGATCAATCTATTCAAACACATGGAAGAGCGAACCTCCCTACAGGAAGCACTTACTAAAAGAAGAAAACAAGACGCCCCACGCATGTTATCATAAAACTCATTGAGCATATTCTTACATTGAATACTTTCAACTTCAATGGAGCACACTACCTTCAAATAAGAGGTTGTGCCATGGGCACCATTGCAGCTCCATCATAGGCTACAATATTCATGGGAAAATTTGAGGAGACCCATATCCAACCCCCTCATCGGTAGCGACTGCATATTCTATGCAAGATATATCGATAATATATTCTTTGTATACATGGGCAGTGACGACAAAATTATCCAATTCCTCATGACCCTAAACACAGTGACCGACTCAATTAAGTTTGACTATGAAAAATCCACAATATCGGTAACATTTTTAGACACATGCATTTACATAGATGAAAACAGGAAACTACAAACGGCACTACACACTAAAATCATCGACACCCACAACTATCTACACTTTAAGTCTTCCCACCCTAAACACCTCAAAGAGAACCTTCCTTATTCACAAGCACTTACTCAGAAGGTTATGTTCCAACAATGAAGAATTAAATAAAGACATTGAAAATCTGGAGCATCAATTCACAACACGTGGCTGTAAACAAAACCTAATCAGGGAACAAATAAATAAAGCAATTTCCACACCTAGAGAAGACACCCTAATGTACAAGATTAAAAATAAACCCAACCGCATCCCTCTAGTAACCACTTTCAACACCACTCTGGCTCCATTATCCCCAAATAATCAAAAGTCACTAGGAAATACTACATCTCAAACAAGACCTAAAAAATTGTTTGAGGAACCCGGCCTTCTTGCATATCGTAGACCTAAGAACCTAAAAGAAATCATAGGTAGTAACCACATTTCAAGGGACAAGGTAATCCGTAATAAAACAACAACAAAAACAACAGGGTTTTCCCAACCATGTAACAACAAAGAAGCTCATGCTGCAACTACATTAGACACACGAATTCATTTATTAATTCAGTCACTAAATCTACTTTCAAAATCTACCACAACTCTAACTGTAGATGTCATAACATAATTTACCTCCTAGAATGCACACTACGCTAGAAACAATACGTAGGATAATCTGAATGGCCCTTTCACTACAGAATTAATAATTATCGCAATCGAATTAAGTCGACTCCCCATGAAAGATTATTAACTGTAGAACAACATTTCCGCCTAGAAAAATACGATTTTAAAAGCCATACCAAATTGACTATTTGAGAGAATAGAAAAGCCCAGAGCAGATAACATTAGAAATATTTTAGAGTTCCATGAAAATAAATGGATACA